CTTCTAATCCATTTTGAATATTTGTTTTGCTAAGATTAAGATATGATGGGTTCGTCTCTTATTATATATGTAGCGGGCAATGTTGTTAAATGTTACTTTTAGTTTTTTTTTAGATTTAGCGTCATAATTTCCAAATATTTTAATACCATAGAATAAGGTGGGTGTCAAATATATCTTAGCTATCATTAGTTTGAGTATATCTGGTAAGAATTTTTGTGTTGGTGTGAGTTGTCTTAGTAGACTATATGTTATACCAGTAGGTTTCACTACCTGGTTACTCCAAGAAAGCGTATTGTTAAATGTTAATCCTAAGTTTTCCACATGATCTATGTAATCAATTTGTTTTCCTTCGATTTCAAGTTTTGGATAGGCCATCGTATTTAGTTGCTTCTTGTATATTATTACTCATTTACATTTATCTGGATTAAGTGCCAGACCATTACGCTTCGCCCAGAAACCCACATTGAACAAATCACTGTTACACACACTTATACACTCATCTTTTACTCAATGGACGACTAACATACATTTGGACATCATCCGCATACATATGACTTCTACAATATAACAGGACGTCTGGGAGACGTCTTACAGACGTCTATATTTGAGGCATATGACCCTAAAAGGCTCATGTTGGGCATAATTAGACCTACATATGGGTAAGCGGACTGGCCTAAAAGTACGGGTAGGTCTATATGGAACGGCAATCTGACCGAAGAGAGTTTGGGAGTCAACAATGCCGAGAAGGAGCTTGTGCACGAACACTTCCCCATTAAATATTCTGCGATGATGCAACGACTGCAGGTCAATTAAATTTAGTCTAGACCGGTAGGGTGGCAAGATTCTACCCGAGTCCAAGTTTAAGTTACGAAGGGTAAAAATTAAAAATTGCTTTTTCACGGATTCAATAACAACCTGCTGTTATTTATGTGTGGTACCTGTGGTATCCACACACAGGAACAATACTAAGGGTCGTCAAACTCCTTGGACCAACGTTTGATGAACGCTAAAACACACGTAGCTTTATATACTGTTGCGGCTATATGGCTGTTAAAACACATCTTATGATCAAATTTTACTCCGAGGTCATTTGAACTCGAAATTCGAACATATGAGACGTATGGAGCGCGACGGTAAAATGTCATAAGTTTGCATTTAGAAAAGTTCAGAAAAAAAAGATTAGTTGAACAGCACAATTAGATCCAGTTGAAGGCGTGTGTGCAAGTACCAATCAGAGTAAGGCAGATAGATTTTAATATCATTAGTGTAGTAGGGTATGTTATAGCTTGAGGAAGGTCATTCACAAATAAAATAAACGGAAGCGGGCCCAGATGATTTCCCTGTGGCACTCCTGAAATAACATTGACTGTATTTGACAACACATTAGAAAATAAAACACGTTCAGTAAGGTTAGAGAGACAGGACAAAATCCAATCTAGAAGATTCGTTTGGAACCCTAATAAAGAGAGCTTGTGAATAAGCAGATCATGGTTCACAGAATCGAATGCATTGCTAAAGTCCGTAAGGAGTGAGCGAGCGGAGGAGTATAGAGCTAAGGCCTACGTGAAGCCCGACTTCTGGTTCTTTTTGTAGAGCCTGGATTTATTATTTTTTAATTATGACAAATACTTGGAGAACCAGGGAGGCTTGGACGATACAGGTACAGGAGCTATAGAACGAGCTAACCAGCCAAGCTCCGTTTTTCACATGTACAAAAGTTTTCTGATTTACTTTTGAATACACATAAATTGGAGCTCCTGTTTTCACATTCCTCAAGATTTAATCGTTTTCAAAACGAAAACATGTTCGTTGACGAAATGAAAAGTAAACGGCACTTTATACAACGAAACGAGCCTTAATTGCAAAATGAAAAAATAGATGACTTATTGATGCATTAACATAAACTTGACACCTATATCAGGGTAATTTAACTTTTGCTTTCTTTATGAATAATTTTATTTTAACACAACCTCAAATTTGGCTCGGAAAAAATTGGCCAGGGCAACAAAAATTTTAGTTTTGGTGCAAACATCAAAATTATGTAAAAACTGGAGAGCCTCAAAACGAAAACGAAACGTTTTAGCTGAAAACGTAAATGAAAAATGTAGCCTGCGTGAATCTATGTTCGATAATGAATAAAGAAACGACCAATCAACAAGCGAGAGATGTAGATCTAAATCGTTTAAGTTTATTTTGCGAAAACACTTTATGTGGCAAGCAGCCATGGAACTGTCAGCACAACCAGATCGGGTACACTCAAGGGGTATCGACAAAGTTGGATGGTAAGGATCTTCAGGTAATGATATTGGGCTATCGTTGGGGATATCGTTAACAAACATGAGGTCACGAAGTCTGTCCCTAATGTTTTTAACGGCATTAATTTGGACAAGGGAAATATCCGTTAGCCCATTGATAAAGTCATTGTGGCAATTGGGAAACAACAGGTTAGCGTTATCAGAAGGCAGCCAAGAAAGAAATGGGAGGTTAAAGTCCCCCATGACAATAGTTTGATCATTGCAACCTAATGCAGATACGACAGTATTAATTGCTGAGAGGTGGTTTAAGTAAACCTCATCATCAGACCTGGGAGGAATGTAGGAGCAGGTTAAATAGAAAAATGCCGAACCAACACGAACTTTGATTGCAACAAATTCAATTAACATGTATGTTATTGAATGGGAATAACTCAGATGAGAAATAAGATTTGACTGCAATCAGAACCCCACCTGCAAAAGATGGGCGGTCCATTCTATAAATAGTGTAAGTGTCAATGAAAATTTAAAGATCATTGATAGAAGAGTTAAGCCAGGTTTCTGTAAAAGCGATGGCATCGAAATCAAATGACGCAATTTGCCCAACAAACTGCAAACGTTCTGATAGTGAACAGAAAAATGGTACAGCAGTGTTTTGGAGCAGCAGGCTCGGTAATTCTGGGACTCGGGTTCGGATCTTTGTGAAGGAACTCATGCATAATTGTATGCTCAGGCCATATTGACGGTTCCAGAGATTAAGATAGTAAAGAATCAAGAATTTTAAAGAATGATATGTTGCGCTTATGTTTAAATGTAAATTTAGTCACAACTGTATCATCAGGCGAAGCGTTAAGTTTAGAGGAAAGGTGTTGTTTACCATGCTCCGCTTAACCCTCAAGAATAAGACCGGAAACAAATAATGCTTTCCGAGGGACTACTGCTCTAGGTTGAAGTCCCGAGCGAGAGCGTGACGTTGTCCAAGACTGGTGGGCTTTCTTCAGGTAGCCCAGGGTGGGTGTTGTTTTCGAGAAAACTGCGCAAGCGCGAAGCTCCTCAGGCTTCTCCGAGACCAATGCTCTAGCTCTAGGTTTACTGAGGAAGTCTTCCCAATTAACGTCCACCAGCTTGACTCTTTGGTATACTTCTTTGAGCAATGCGTTCGTTTATTGAGCTCGTTTTCCAAGAGGTTCCACTTGTCCCGAGGAATCTGACCGTCCTTGGATTTCCTGTCTAGGACGCCAACGAGGATTTTCCTCTCGCCACCTCGGCAAACGATCAGTTGCTTTACTGGGTTTTCGTTCTTTTGGTCTGGCCAAGCGTTGCCGCTTGGCTGCCAAGGCCCTTGCCATCTTTTGTTGGCTGGTAGTCTAGCAGAACTGTTTTGGCCCATCGCCTGAATTGGATATCCCGAGCGATGCCACGAACAACGGATCATCATTACCCATGATGAAGGCCGCAAGTCTCTTGTCTTGAAGCCTCGGCTTCTCTTTCGAGCGGAAGGTGGCGCTTCCGGGGTTGTTAAGGGTTACCCGGTCCCAAGGCACTTACCAGCTGCGACATCGCTCTGCTTGGCAGCCACGCCGGTAATCGGTACGCCCCTAGGGCCCCTCAACGTGGATTGGCCCAATTGGCTTTTCGGACATCTTAGCGCTCGAACACCGCTCGGCCATGCATCCTTATTCATATTAAACTGAGATTTTTCTTCTTTCCAACCAACTACCATTAGCCAGCATCTATGGCAGAGACATGACTGTACCAGGACCTGTTTCCAGCCGCCCTCTCCGGGAGAGTATAGTGGCACTTCCACCGGTGTGTATAGTTACGGTTGGTGGCGGTTCGCTCGTGACCCTCTGTATTCTTGGATATTCTAGGAATATTTTATTTTCATTTTTTTTATTTTTATACCCGATACTTAAAAAGAGTGTATATGCATTTCCGTGGAAATGTCATCCGAGGCCAAAAAGTTAAAACCAATAAAAACCCATTTCTATATACGCTTGCTCATATTTTTTTCTAAATTGATTGAAACTCAGCTAATTTAACCAAAAACTAAAAACCTACTAAAATAACCACTTTTTCCGTATTTGTATAGTCATGTCTTCCTTTACTACATCCTACATATATCCCATCCTATAAGAAAGACAATTCATAATAAAAGTTGTTCCTCAAAGTCTCTCTTAAAAGACAACTATGTTGTTTGTAAAGGAAATATGAATTATTTATTGGAGAATGTAAGGTAATAAAGATAAAAAAAACCACATGAAAAAATCGTACGCACGCGACCCGTACGTATGCGACCCTTACATTCGCGACCAGTACTTAATTAATTATAAAAAACACCAATAGAGATCATTTTTTAAGTAAACACTCCATAGAAAGCTACATTTTTGTTAAGTGAGTTGTGGGTGCTTTTAATAACTCCAGTTGTATTCACTTTAACAGAGTTATTGTCACGACATACAGTTATTACATCTTATCGGCGAAGCGATATATGGGTCAACTGATGTTTCTTCATTTCCAATCATAATTTGCATCATTAAATCCATCAAAGAATGTCGTCAATCCGGGAATTTGTTATGTAGGTCCAGGTGTTTCAACTTATTTTTTATTTTTGTTTTACAATAATGTATTTGGTTAATTAATTTTATTAGTGGTATCCACTATGTAGGTATCAGGTGGATTCCCCATTCTGTCACGGGTTATGCTAAACGCTGGATTCAAATTTATTCCATATTCATTTTGTTACAGGCGAAAAAAGGAATTAATTTGCGTACATAGCACAAATTACACAACTGCAAAGCTTGCCGAGTTGAGGTTAAACAAAATGAGCGCAATCACTCAGGAATTTTGCGTACGCTGGAACAGCCATCTTGGTAGTATTGGCGCTGCTTTTCCACAGCTACTAGCCGGTCAGAGATTTGTGGATGTAACACTGGCCTGTGAAGGTCACCAGTTGCATTGTCACCGTCTAGTGCTGGCCGCATGCTCTACATACTTTGAAGCCATATTGGCGGAAAATCCCTGTAAGCATCCCGTTATAATTTTACCAGGAGAGATCAAGCTCTGGGAGATTCAGGCGCTTGTAGATTTTATGTATAAGGGAGAGGTGAATGTCACGCAGGCCGGTCTGGGCCAGTTGCTTCGATGTGCCGAACAGCTTCGAATACGCGGTCTATACGGGTCAGAGGCGGCAATAAACTACAATCAACTTCAACAGATGAGAAACGAAGCTGTCAAGGATGTAGCCCCAGTCATCAGGAGACTTAACAATATAGACGTGATTGAAAAGGAAGATGTAGCTACAAACTTAACCGCCTCAATATCTACTACGACCACGCCAGCACAGACTCCCCTAGAGCACCATCAACAACAAAAACTAGTACTGCAGCAAATGGAACAGCATCAGCGTCAGCAGGAAAATGGTAGTAATATCCTGCACCTACAGAGACCACATCAGAAGCAACCACAACAGCTTTTAAACACCGCCTCCTCAGCAACCGCTTCCAACAACTCAAATGTACCGACTGAAGACGAATCCGCGGATGATGCCTCTAATAACTGGAACTCATATAATGATCATTGCGATGACTTTAGAGTATCCGCAACAGCTGAAAAAAATAAAACACAGATGTTGCTCCTCCAGACAAGGTTTGTCATTAATTCCGTTATAATTATAATATTGTAAGAAGGCTTTTATATTTTTAGACTAATAGTGAAAGAAACGCCACATTTTACTAAAATTGGCTTTAGTGCTTTTAAAAATATTCTCTATAAAGATGAATATTCATTTTTAAAGCTAAATTGAGAAGGTAGAATTTCGAAATAATCCGCCTCTTTCGAAAGCCGTTGATATGTAATGTAAGGTCATGGATACAAGTCAATAAAAACATTTCCATATTTTCCTGTCCACATATCATTGTCTAAATTGATTGAATTTTAACTAAGTTTACCAATTGGCGAAGGGCATTTCCATTCTGGGTTCGGTTACATTCGTACGATAAAATGTAAATAAATATAAATGAAAAAGTCAAATTAAAAAAAATTAAATATTCTTGTTGAAAAGTATTGGGGTAGTAATTGTCACCAAACAAATTAAAATAGTCGAACGTATGGTTCTAAAGAAATAAACTAGAGTATGACTTGACGCTACATTACAAAAAGCAGAAGTGGTTTTTGAGGTTGGAGTATCTGTATACAAATTTTTGTGCCTTAGCACAAAATACTGCAAAAGTGAATTTTGACTAATTTTAATAGGTTTTCACATCAAAGTTAATGGGATTATATATCAATGGGTAAATTAGTTAACTATAAATACACTTAGAAAATATTATCTGCGTAAACGTATATGGAAATCTTTTATTATTGAATTTTAATTTTTTTTTTGGCATGTGGAACTTTTTGTGTAATTGGCCATACCTGTAGTTACATTAACTTATATTTCGTGGACGTTGACATGCAATGACTGCATCTTTCAAGAGGCGATGCAATTACTGCACCGTCAAGTGGCCCGTGTGACACCAGCAGAAGGCTGTTACGCGAGCATGCTGTTTATTAGTCTAACAGGAAGTCGAGGAAGATTAGCGCTAAAGTTTCTAAGAGAACTAGGCATGCATTCAAAATACAAAATACAAATACCACTACAATTACTAATTACTAGAAAGGTGTGTAAGGATTAGTAATTTAATAAGAGGAAGAGAATTAGTGGTGGATATGATATGGTAGAGGGAACTATAATCCGAGCATAAGACCCTAAACGGTTCATGCAAGGAATAATTCGATCTACAAAGTGGAAGGAACAACGGTATAAAATTTCTAGTCAGTCTAATACGAATCGTGAAGTTTATGCGGCTCAACAGATCAGGGCTGTCTATGTCACCCCTGATCAAGTTGTGCATAAAAATCACACCAACCATTTTTCTACGGTTAACTAAGGATGGGAGGTTTACTAATAGTAGTCTACTAGAGTAAGATGGGAGTCGCACACCCGCATCCCAGTTAAGGCCCCGCAGAGCAAGGAGTAAAAAGTTGTTCTGTACTGATTCTATACAGTCCTGGTGTACTTTGTACTGAGGGCACCATACACAGGAGCCGTATTCTAAGATCGGACGAACAAGCGAAGTGTAGAGAGTCTTTGTTGAGATGGACACAGAGTTTAACATCATCCGCATACATAAGTACTCGAGAGTATGTTAATACCGAAGGCAAGTCATTAATAAAGAGTGAAGAGTAAGGGGCAAAGATGGCTGCCCTGTGGTACTCCCGAAGAAACCTTGACTGGTGAAGAGAGGGAGTTTGTGAAGATGTCTCTTTGAGACCTGGAACAAAGATAGCTAGAAATTCATCGCAGGAGGTTGGGCGGAAATCCTAAAAGGTCAAGTTTATGTACTAAAAGAGAATGGTTTACAGAGTCGAATGCTTTACTAAAGTCGGTGTAAATGATAAGGCAGGAGAACATTTCCTGGGCGATCAGAAGCTTTAAACCCTACATGTCCGCGGGGCCAGACGGCATTTTCCCTGCAACTGATTCACGCGGGACATAAAGCCATTAACTGGCTCAAAATAATTTACGAGGGAATCTTCTCCCACGGGTGCATTCCTGACACCTGGCTTCAGACCAAAGTCGTATTCATACCCAAGGCAGGCAAGCCCTCGCACACCGCCCCAAAAGATTTCAGACCCATAAGTCTATCGTCTTTTCTTCTAAAGGCGATGGAGCGGCTCCTGGGGCTGCATCTAACGGCGTGCATTCCGTCCAGTCTGATCTCAGACTCCCAGCATGCCTATCGGAAGGGAAGATCCACTGAAACGGCCCTACACTCGATCACATCGATCATCGAAGCGTCCCTTAACTTTAAGGAGTACACCCTAGTAGCCTTCCTCGACATAGAAGGCGCCTTTAACAACATCCTTCCGACCGCCATCACGGGCGCACTGACGGATCTGGGCGTTGACTCCAGGACGGTGAGCCTGATCGATCAGATGCTACAATGCAGGACGGTTGAGGCATCACTGGGGACGTCAACGGGTACCAGATTTGTCAGTAGAGGCACACCGCAGGACGGAGTCCTCTCGCCCTCCTATGGAACATGGCAGTGAACACACTGTTGCGGGAGATAGAGGGGGATGGCTGCCGTGTGGTGGCGTACGCGGACGATGTTGCCATAGCATTCTCCGGAAAATTTCCGCAGACGTTGTGTGAGTGCATGACAAGTACTCCCACGAAAATGTCGAAATGGGCAGACAAATGCGGGTTAGGCGTCAACCCGTCTAAAACGGAACTGGTGCTTTTCACTAGGAAGTACAAAGTTCCGGTACTGATTCCCCCAAGACTATGTGGGGAAACGCTAGTCTTCAGCAACAACGCCAAGTATCTTGGCCTAATCCTCGATAGAAAGATCGATTGGAAATTGAGCATAGAGGATAAAGTAAAGAAGGCCACAGTGGCCCTCTATACTTGCAGGAAAGCCATCGGACTGAAATGGGGAATGACCCCCTATATAGTTCGGTGGCTCTACACCGCCATCATACGACCAATCATGCTCTATGGAGTGGTGGTATGGTGGCCAGCCTTGGACAGAAGGACATGCCTCAATAAACTCAGCAGAGTTCAACGCATGGCAGAGCTATGCATAACTGGCGGGCTACGCACTACTCCAGGGGAAGCCCTGGATACTGTGCTGGACCTCCTCCCTGTGGATCTCATGGGAAAGAAGGTGGCAACACTTTCCGCCCTCAGAATGAGAGAAGCCAGACTGTGGAAAGCATCCGCGATTGGGCACTCGGGAATCCTGATGAGACTCCCGCAATTACCAGAGAGGGCAGATTACTGTATCCCTAGTGATCACCTCTCGACGCCCTCCCAGGTATCAATCCCATCTAGGGAGGACTGGGAGAACCAGGGGGCGAACCAGGACCTGCAAATGCGGTCCACTTCTACACTGATGGCTCAAAGCTAGACGGCCGCGTGGGAGGCGGAGTCTACTGCAGCGAGCTGAACATCAGTCATTGCTTCAGGCTCCCGGATCACTGTAGTGTGTTCCAAGCGGAGGTTGAAGCCATCAAGGAAGCCATTTCGATCGTCTCCAAACTACTTCTACATACGCACTTAGTGTGCGTCTTCTCGGACAGCCAAGTCTCGTCGAACTCAGCGACTGTAAATGACTGCCGCAGGTCTCTGCACGAGATCGCAGAGCAGTTAGATCTCTTCCTTATATGGGTCCCCGGCCACAGGGACATCGAGGGGAATGACGCCGCCGACGAGCTAGCCAGGCAGGGTACTACGATTCCTCTCCTATCGGAGAGGGAGCAAGTAGCGATGCCCTTGGCTACGTGCAGGCTCCTAACGCACGAATTGTTCGAGCAAAATGCCAATAGGAGATGGCAGCAAACCGTTTCCTGTAAAGTCTCAAGATTGATATGGCCATATCGATCGAAGAAGCGCTCAGCAGAGCTGTATAAACTCAGCAGAGCACAGTGCTCTGCAGTTACTAGAGCCATTACGGGACACTGGCAGATCGGCACTCACGCCTCTAGACTGTCAATCCCTCATAATGACTTCTACAGGAGTTGTCGCGACGAGGAGGAGGAGGAATCGGTCCCCCACTTCTTCTACCACTGCCCAGCCCTTGGAAATCGTCGTCTTCGTATTCTCGGGGCCGCTTTCCTCACGGACATTTCGTATCTGTCCGAAATCAAACCAGGGACCTTGTCCAAATACATCCAAGCCACCGGATGGGACTGCCCTTAACCTGCAGTAGTATGCTCTCACGGTTCGGGCAACGCAAAGGGGCACATGCCCATGCGGCAACACAACGGACCTTTTATAGGTCCAAGTGAGCTTGGGAGGCGGGAGGCCAAAATTTGGCGGAGCAAATGGTGTCAAATTGAGTTGGGGAGATGCTTATCTTAAACGAGGCGATCTCCCTGGCATAAGAGAAGTTGAATTCCTCCACCCACGGCTTTTATTTTGCTTTGAATAAAAGAAATTACATCATTAGATGTGATGTCAGGGGCCAGCCGTGAAACAAAAACTTTACGTTTTGGTGGGACTCCCACCAGTGGTTTAGTCACCACAGGCCTAGTACCTGTGGTGGCAATATCTATTCACTGGTGGGATCGGGATAGACGGGACAGCTAGCGAACTTGCGGACACCACGGACACGGACGCTGTAGACGTACTTGGCTGCATCGCCAGCAGCTGTCGTTGCCCTTGGAGTGGCAAACAAGATCAACTGCTGCACACTTGGAGTGGGCGGAGTCAGTTTTTCGGCGGCGCACGGCTGAGTGACGGTTGCCACTTGCAGATCCCGCGCAGTGACCTTTGTACGCCTCGGAGGCTCATTCAGCAGTTGCAGACTGCCAAATTGAGACTCCATGGCTAGGAGCCGATCGTATTGCTTTTTAAAGCCAATGGTCAGCTCCTTAAAGCCCTTCCGCGTCTGCCTCATGAAAGCCACCATGTCACTCTCCACCGCACGGCATGGCTCGCAACTGTAATGCAACCCATTACGTTTATCTATAGCATCACTCACGAGGCCAACAAATCCAGCGCATTTTGCGTGGACTACGCTGTCGTAAAGCCAGCAGGGGACATTCGGCTGATCTTGAGTGATCTGCTTCTTACAGGTTTTTTTGGCGCAGACCACAGC